TGTCGTTGAATTCAAACCAGTTGCCCTTAAACTCTGTGGGTTCGACAACGGCCAGGGATTTGTATTCTTTCACGAGAGAAAGCTATCCAGCTAACTGTATAACGGAACGTTGGTTGTTCTTATCGGGTATCCTCTCGTGCGGAGTGGCATCTCACGTTTTTCTCTACCAATAAGGCTTGGAAAGTCGCCACATTAACATTACATTGTTGGCATGACATTCAACAACTTCAAAAAATCCAAAACATAATTGATAATATCGTGCATTTTTGCTTTTCTTCTATTTTATCTTTCAGCTCGAAAAGTTTTACTTTGACATAAACTAACAAGTTAAACACGTATATGTTTCAATAAATACATGTGTTTTACCCAATCTTAAAATTAATAACACAGTTCGTTTGTAACTACGATTTTCAGTTGACAATTGAGCGTTTATCATACCATTACAGACGATGCTACAAATTAATGCGCATTTTCTTAATTTAATCGAGAAAACAGTTAAAAAGTGTAAATTAAATGCCTTCATTATACAGACTTTAAACAGGTTATATGGCTGTATAAAATGGGCTGGATTAGTACTCCAATGGTAGCAGGTTTGACCCATGTAATGGTCTGTTGGATGAGACCTTAAACACGATTTTATGTATCTTGGAACTCTATTATGGGCATGTTAAAGTACCAGGGTTGCCTCTGGAAAAGGGCAAATGGTGTAGTCATATAATAACTTACCCTACAAGGTGCGTCCGCATGCGACTGTTAATAACTAAAACAGTAATGAAAAATGATATCCTTCATTATAAGAAACAATCTTTACCTGACGCACTATTTTGCTTTATTGAACATGAAAATGATCCGGGATTATTTTAACAAACATATGTTGAATTGCATGGATTATTTTCGCATTCATTAATATCATTTTCACAATTAGTTCCCTGCCAACCGTTTGCGCATGTGCAGTTATAGGACACATGCGCATTCACGCATGTTGAGGAATGTTCGCACGGGCTTCTCGTGCACTCGTCAATATCAGTATCACACTTTGATCCTGTCAATCCTGATAAACAACTGCACAGATAGGAACCAGGCGTATTTGTACACATCATATTATTCGAGCATGGATTTGCGTGCATTCTTCGATGTCAACAGAACAACTCCGACTACTCCATCCGGGTGCACATAAACAGTGAAGTCCTCTCCCTCGCTTTTTGCACACTTCTGTAGGTCGACACATTGAACTGGGGTAACAAATATAGAATAGTTTACATCTTTTAAAAGTTATATACGATCTTACAAAAAGTCAAATAATAAGTTATGTATTTTGTATGGAATTTTCTGTTAATACCCATCAGAATTTACTTATATGAAAAAGGCAAAGCCTCAAAGCGAGCTCGATGTACTTTTAACGTGAAAAAGTATGAAATAATCGCTCATTTTATTTCAAATGCAGTGACGAGTGCGTGTGACGTTACACGAACTGTGTTAAATATGGCTCCGCCCCTGTCGTTAAATGAATAACGAGTTTTGACAACGTTGATAAAACTTTGTTTATTTTATTTCACTCTATAATTTTTCAAGCGAAATAAAGATTATTAAAAGTGAAATAAATGTAAAACTTAAAAGGTTTGCGACATTAATGTTTGTTTTGCACGTGCTGTTTGGCACTACATTGTGACGTCACGTAAACAATAATTTAAACGTCTGTACAGCGTTAACGACTGAATAAAAGATATTGGTGTTCGGATTCATTTTCTTAGTTAGACCATTTTCTTTCATTCTAGATAGTTTTCACAACAAAATTCGACAAAAAATTGTTTTTATTTATCAGATTTTTCAAACAAAATGGCGCCTTCAATTTTCATTTTACATTTCCGTTTTAAAACTGTCATTCGATATTTTATCGACAGCTTCCGTTATTCTGGTTCCCTGTCCAATTATGGTTCCCATAGACGTGCGCGGGTGACAAGTCTACACATCCGTTTTCAGTCAGAATTCCTCAGTTTTTATCGTTATCTTTAAATTCGAAAGGTTGCGATGTGTCCAATTCGGTACTTCGGACGAAAGTTTTCAAAACCATCACTTAGCAGGTACTCGCGTTACCGTAAAGCTCGCTTTGCGAGCAGGCCCTTCGGGCCAGCTCGTCGAGCTCGCTATTAACGTTCAATTTATAATATGAAATTAGGTGCTACCTATGGCGCGGAAAGCTCTGATTTTAGCATAACATATTAAGTGTACATAAACGAATGAATTGGTGGTGTTCAACCTATCATCGGAACGCTCGGACTATTCCGAAAAACTCCGGACCTCTGCGCATGCGTCGGCGTTTGGAAAATCCCGTCCGCCATTTTTGTTATTCTCTGATCACAGTTGTTGTTTTTACGTTATTTTTTATGTGCTAATTTATCAAAAAGGATATGTTTTAATAACTTTTTATATTTATAATCGCTACTATGATTCTTATCAATGAAATGCAGGTTTATTTTCTGATTTTGTACATCATTCTTTCACCGGAAGTGTTACTTAGCATGCGTCTGCAATAGTCTGAATTATGTAGACGCTCATTAAAAGCGCTCAAAATGATTTCAAAATGGCGGCGCCCGGTTGACTAAGGATTTTTCACAGCCCATTAGGTATAGGATAGATATTTTTTTGAAATTTTCATTTAGTTTGAATTTGATTTCCTTTGAACTGATACGCGTCATACATGTTATCTAAGAGCGCTACAGCCCTCGCGGGGCCTTCGGCCCCGCTCGGACTTTCCGCGTAATAAAATAATGGGGGGGAGGGGCAGTCATGCTGATATGTATTTTATCCTTCACATTTTCCAGTATCAACATTTTGTAAATTACCCAATATACGTATAAATATCTGACGCGACCTCAATGACAGGCTAGAAGAACAAATACTGGTCCTCAAGATCTTGCCCCTCACAGTGTTAGACTGAGCATTTGTACCGTTCAAAAGAAGTAACTACCTAGCTTGCTATCGGGAGATGGCGGTTTAAATCAGTGTCCGCTAGATAATTAACAAGAGAAACTTCAGGCCTTTCCCTAGCAGCAAAATCGGGAAAAAGTGCCATAATTTTATGATTTGTACTATGATGAAAATACAAGTTGAAATAGAAGAATAGCCCTACTCGTGTAGACACTGATCTTGGCACCATTCCCCCATCCATCCCGGCGTGCAATTCCGAACAGTTGTAGAATTGTCTTTTATATCGCAGTGAATGTTGCCAAACCATCCGTGTAAACAGTTGCATCTAAACAATATTATAGGCATTGATGCTCACGTGAAATCAGTTAAAAGTGTAAAACAGATATATACAGGGTGTGCTTTGTAGGAATATATATTGCATGACGACTTTAAACCAATGGCTTATCACATTTACCAGTTTAATATTTAACAAGTAGAGATTTTGATGCTAAAGCATCAAATCGCCGGATAGAAAAATGATTGTATTATCATAAATATAAGAAAATGTAAGTTTAATGGTTCAAGTATAAAAATAAGAGGAACAATGAGTTGAGTAATGTTTGCCACTGAGGCTTGTAAGGCAAGAGCTATGCTGGTAATTCTTCTTGTAATTATACTTTATACATATACTGTTGTACCATACATTGAAATCCGTATAGGTTACTAGTTCAGCTTCAGATAATTACCGGCAAATAATTACCGATCATCGAATATTTGCAAAGTGACTATGAAAATATATATTTATATTACATGAAACAATACAATTTTACTGTAAAAGTGTTGTACATCATTATTATGTGCTATAAAAAATATATAATTTAGTTGAAATCAATACACGTTTTCCAATCGTTACATACGATATATAAAATTTACGTTTAATTGCCCTTCAGTGCGATAAACTATCAACACAAAGTTTATTTTTTTTTTTCATGTATCTACATGTAATACGATTCCGGACCCCTGACGTCATACCGTTTTGGAAACCTGCGTGACGGAAACCGACGGAATATACCGAAACCAACGTTTACCATTATATAGTTCAATAATGTGCCTCTTAAGCATAACATTATTTTGGGATGTTCAACCTAAAGTAAACAATTGAACTTTCTTGTCGAATGTTTGACAGAAAGGGCCAAGTTAAACCCTTTACCAAGAAGAAAGGAAAAGGTTTTGAAAATGTATTTTTAATGTAAACAGGTTTCTCTTATATAAAGTATGAACCTGATTAATGAAAAATAACTTATGTAATTATCTGTACAAAATTACAATGATTTACATCTTATCAGTTACCAACATTAACAAGTTACCTGTCTTATCAGCAATCTGTTACTATTAATAGATTTTATAACGATATACAACATATATAAACATGAAGTCACGTGATTCTTACGAAAGACCAGGGAGCATTTGTTTATAATTAGATAAAATAATGTAATATAAAAGGTCTCATAAAAAATAAACAACCAAATAATTCTAAAGTGTCATTTCAAATATCATTCATGATTTATTTATTATAAAATAGCAATGCTTGACACATAGAAAAAAGTAAAAGTATCCTCTAATATTCAATGACTGATCCTTGGGGATACGTTATTGATTCATTTTATGAAAATTGTAATGTTGCTTTTTAAGACGTCAATATGTGCATATTTCATTCCACTGAGCAAAGTTATCATATGTTTGATTTTTTGTGATTACTGAAAAATAATTTTTGTCTTTAATTGTTCAATGATTGATATGCTTTTATTTTTAGATTTTAAGGGCTTCTCCTACCATAGGTATACTATTAAACTATTACAAATATAGTTGCCGGTTTCTACCGGCGACTAATAAACTACTTTTATTGCCATTTTTAGAATGGTCATGTAGTCGGCATGCATGCATTTCTAATCAATGCACTTATTACTTCCAAAGCAATCTTTATATAGAATTATTATATTAGTAATGTATATATGTAAAAGTATTATTATTTTGGTTTAAGTGTTTATTATAACTTGGATCCATATATCTAGAAGTACTGTAAATTGAATCAATTCAATAAGTAGTGCTGACTTTTTTCGGCCGTAAGCTGTGTGATTTCACCTTAACTTCCTTTGAAATAAGATTGAAAGAAGTGAATAAAGACAGGATTTTCATAGGTCGATTTGAAATTTTAAACCGTAAAAACTGGAAATCTCATTGGTCAATCTAATATCTTTCAAAGTTAATACTTTACCTATAGCTTCCAATTGTGTTACTACAAATACCACGATGCATACAAGGGTTTCCAAGGCTGCATTCATCAAAATCATCGTTACATGTAGCACCCTAAAACACATTATAAGCATAGTTTTTCACCGTTTTGAAATACAGCTTCATAATTTTAACATTTCATCCCTAGAATTGCACTTCTTATACATGTAGTTGTATTAATAAATGATTGTCAATTTGAATTCTGCTACAGCTGCTTTTATTATTATTCTTATTATTATCGTCATTTATTATTATCGTTATTATAGCTATTATGTTGTTGCTGCTGTTGTTGTTGTTGCTGCTGCTGCTGTTGTTGTTGTTTATGATGGTGGTGATGGTATGCTTTTTATTGGTTTTTTTATTATTATTATTTATCTATCTTTATACTTGTTGGAAGTTGTTAAATTATAACAACATTTTGTTTCTACCATGACCTTGCGAGATAAAACTACGTGCAGAACATGTATAGAGTTTATTAAATATGTGCTCCTTAAATTGCAAAATTGTGTCGCCGAAAGAATTTCAAGGTGGAATCTAATTTCCAGTTTGGCATCGATAACGCATGTTTGATACACCTTCACAAACATAATAAACGTTTTGACACTTGCTTAATCATGCCTGTCTAGATATAATAATGTATATTTTAAAGAAAAAAACCTATAAAAAGCAATGGAAAAAAATGCATGACACTGTTTGAAATAAGCAATAAAAGGAAATGTTATATATACATTGTTCACCAGTTTTTGTATAAAGTTATCTTTAAATTAAAACTGAAGATAACAATGTTACAAATTTCATATGAATGCTTAAATCTTCCCGGGCATTAGATTACCTTTATATCATCACGAAACTTTAAGGTCATAGGTGATGCTTTGTGACCGAAATCAACTTGTCCACGTGTAACAATTCTAAAATATTTTCTCCAGAGTACACAAAAAAGCTGTAGTTAAACAATTAATGCAACCTTCAAACAAGTGGTAACCATCTTTGACGCCAATTTGGATTTATATTCAACAAACAATACTGAGTATTTTGATACATGAATCTGACAACATTTGCTTTACTTCAATTTGTGAACGCCCAATGCTCTTTTAACCTTGAAGTTTTTTTTTGTTGTTGACGGGACGGAAATTCTTTTTTTTTTAATGTTCAATTTGATAAAGGTCTAGACTAATAACTTGTGTGCAAAATTTAAGATGATTGTTCATTACGTTTTTTTTTTTCAGAAAAGTTACAAGTACTCAAATCGTGAAAAAAATGACCCAAAACTGAAAAGAGTTCCAAACGCTATTCACTTAAATCGGGCTTAGAAAAACACAAAGCATTTTTAAGTGTCCCAGCTGATCTATGTCAAACATTCAAATTTTATGTTTTTAGGCTTTTGGACCTCAATGGAGCTCCTTTACTGTCACCTAACTTAGGCATAATATTGATAATATATGAGCCGCGTCACGACAAAACCAACATAGTGCGTTTGCGACCAGAATGTTAAAAGGTTTACGTAAAGCATATTGTGAAACATTATTGTTCATATAATAATTATACACATGGTACTATTTTCATGGTTTCATTGTAGACAATATACAAGATCTATAAGTATGTTTAGTGTTAGAATAACTAAAATGGAAAATATTATTAAATTAAAAAAAATGTGTAGCTTATTCATTGGTACATATAAATACAAAATTACATTTAATAAACATGTATGTGAAAATATCTGAATGATTAAATAAGAAATTAAAGCATAACATGTTTTGATAAACTGTGTTGGTTTTTGATCTTTTTATCCTAAATAAATACTACTAATTTTGAGCTAATTAAGTTTAAACTTTTTGGATAATTATTCTAAAAAATGTGGGCGTTTGAAAACATTTTAATGACCAGTATCAACATTAAATACCTATTACAAATCTTTTTTTCCCCATGTATTGACCTTTGTTTTCAAAACTCTTCACAGTAAAGTTCTTGAATTATCCATAATGAAATGTCTATTAATTCAATATCTTAAAAGTAGATTTATATAATTTTATATTTAACTTACTGCATATCCAGTCTGGCACATGCAATACTGATCCCCGTGTCCGTCTGTCCGGCATTTTGCATTGTGAAGGCATGATAGATTTCCGCATTGTGTAACATTTGAAGTTGGTCCTATAGCAACTCCGTATACCACCTATAGTATATTCCAAGAATACAAGTAACTTTCAAAATAGTCTAGATATATAGTTAAGGTTCATCATAAACAATTATAAACACATTAACAAACTATTATAAACACATTAACATAGATCTTAATCTAAATTGAGATTCTATTATTTTATGACAATATTATTATTATTATTATTATTATTATTATTATTATTATTATTATTATTATTATTATTAATGTTATTTTAATTATAATGTATTTTTTTTCCAAACGAAAAATATCTATTGTGCGAAACCAAATGTTAATAAATGTGTTTATGTTTGGTTTATTATTGAGTACAGTTATGAACGATTTTCAACAGATTCATTTTACTTATAGAAAAAAATAGTCCTTGCATTGTATTGTATTGTATTGTTTTGTATTTTATTGTATTGATCAAGATGTTATAGTTATATTTTGTGTCAGGTCAAGGGCTTATTAGCCTAAACCAGACCGTTGTTGTTTTGAGATAAAGAATTCTTTTTCCGATAATAATAATAAAATGTTGCACTACTATACGTATTGTATATGATTTATAATTATAAACTCATTTATTTTCCTGTAAAATGTGATATTCCCTGCTTTGTATTTTAACAGCCAGTGGATCTTTTCAGTCGTACAATAATTATATTTGTAATCCCTTGTACTTATATCAATATTCTTCGGTATCTCCCGCATACTTTATTTTATCCATATACAAAACATATAAGAACTGTTAAACATTTTTTCTAATTTTCTTTTTTCCCCTTCAAATTACCTCGAGAATAACGTGCACGAGAAATACCGGAAATAAATAATTAATTTCATTTATCTTCCCCATCTCACATGTTCTTGTAAGGCAAGTTTTCTATGCAACCTCGGTAAAAAAAATCGTTGTCTCAGACAGAAGTAAAATCCAAAAATACACATGCATTAAGTTAAAAAATATGCACGTGCATTTGGAAAACATTGCTTTTATATCCCGGTTTGATGTCGTAAACCCATATGTCAGCTGATACTAATACTTTTATAACTGTATAAAAGGGGTGTTAATGACTAAAGAAATAAAATATTTCATTAAATCCTTTTGAATTTACCATATGAACTGTTTATACTTATCTTCAGTATATCTACTGCAAAAAATACAACATCATTTTAAGCTTTTAATGTGAATGTGTTTAAACAAGTATTTGATTTATTTAATGCAATTTTAAAACATTTAGGATAGAACAAACATTATTTTTTAAGATTTTAATGAAGTTTGAACGGATTGTTTTGAACAATTTTTGATATGACAAAGTGGGAGTCAAAAAATACATATGCAAGGCCTTGCATACGAAGTACTGATATGTCATTTCTATTTTGAACTGACGATAAATCATTTGAAAAAAATAGTAATGACAGACAGACATTTAACTTTTTATTTTTTAAAGATTTCAATGAAGTTTGAACGGATTGTTTTGAACAATTTTTGATATGACAAAGTGGGAGTCAAAAAATACATATGCAAGGCCTTGCATACGAAATACTGGTAGGGCTATTTTTTACTTAATGCATTCGTCGGTATATCTCAATGATTTTTCCAAGATTTCAACTTCATGAATCCGCGATTTCTACAAATTAAATTCATGAGGCTGCAACTGTGAACATATGAAGTATTGAAGTTGAAAGAGTGAACTTAAATGCGTTAGATTAAAAACATGAATTTATGAAGTTGAAATCGTAAATGTGTACAATTGAAAACGTGAATTCCTGAAGTTGCAACCGTGACCTCAAGAAGTAATAATCGTAAATTCATAAAGTTGAAACCATGGCTTTGTGAAGTTTAAATTTTAAATACGTAGATTAAAAATCATAAATTCACGAAGTTGACATGTCCCAACTGGTCTTCCGTACGTCCACTTAAAATGTTCAAGTTCTTGTTATCACTTTGCCGTCATTATACATTAACAAATGAGTTTACAGATTAAAATGACATAATATGTTACACAAAATTAAATGAGCCGCGTCACGACAAAATCAACATAATGGGTTTGCGCCAGCGTGGATCCAGACCAGCCTGCATCCGCGCAGTTAGATCAGGATCCATGCTGTTCGCTTACAAACTATTTAACAAGTATAGAAACTGATAGCGAACAGCATGGATCCTGATCAGACTGCGCGGATGCAAACCCATTATGTTGGTTTTGTCGTGACGCGGCTCAAATGTTGTTTTCAAGTTTTCAGAACAAATTAATAACATGGTGTCTGGAGACAAACTGTGTTCTTGGTTTTGAATCCCGACTGGGACTTAGGAGGAAGTTATCAAGCTAGCTTACGGTTTTACTCAGGTGCCCGTTTGTGCCTTGAATAATGCTTGGAAGGGCACCTGAGGTCTTCCTCCAACAGTAAAGTTTGAAACGTCCCTTCATAGTAGATATTATCTAAACATGACTGCTGCCTCTTTCTAAAGGCAAAATTGAACAGTTAGATACATGTATATAAAATAAAGTTTATCTTCTCTTATCTTAAGTTTCAAATTCTTTTTATTTCCATGCAGTTCAAAATAAATTCACACTGCTACAGAATCTTTAATCTGGACAACGGAGGACAATACGGAATGTTTACAACTTGAGGAGAATACGGAAATTCCCGAAGTGTTACGATTATTTTTGATCATGTACAGATAAGCGGCTGACATGCCAAAACACATGAAATATAGAAATACTACAAATTAGAAATACAAATACATGTATGTCACTTGGTATCAAAGCTTAATATCAAAATATCATTTTACAGATAAAAACGGAATTACTCTTTGTTTTACGATTATTAGTAATTTAACAACAGTAATAAACATAGATATAAAATAGCTGGACGTGCAAACTAAAACTATAAAAATTGTTTTGTTTTTTTATAGATATAATAAATATACAGATGGCACTTGTTACACGATAAACGCATTTGGAAATGCTCAACAAGGTATCCTATTATTAAAATCATAACTATTATTATTATGATAACTATTATTATCATTATTATTTTTATCATTATCATTTTTACATTATTTTTATTATTTAATAATTATTGTAATTATCAATATTATTATTATTTGATAATTATTGTAATTATCATTATATCATTTTTATTATTATTATTATTATTAAAGTTATGAATATTTTTTTTCATTCTCAAGTTGAGCTGAAACTTCTATATATTTCAAACAATTATGCATAAATGGCACTTAAATCGTTAGGCCAACGCAAAGGGTCAATGTATGAATTTTTCGATTATTAGGAGAAAAATATATAGATCTATATGTTAATTAAATTCAGAAGAATTTTATCAATCATATGAATTTAACTGATTATTACCTAATATAAGATATAGGCATTAAGTTATACTATTTTTATAAGATGGATTTGGTAGTAAATCGTACAACATGTACTTGATTTTTCTATTAACATGGAAAATGGTAGCTTTTGTATTAGTATTTTTTCAAGTCCCCTTTGCGCGCGTGCGCGCGTTTGTGTGTGTGTGTGTGTGTGTGTGTGTGTGTGTGTGTGTGTGTGTGTGTGTGTGTGTTGGTGTGTGTGTGTGTGTGTGTGGCGGGGATTGGTTGGGAAAGAAGGTTGTGTGATCTTGCTATCGTTATAGAATTATATGAACAATTTACCAATGAGATAGTTTCGTCAATCGATAGTCAGTCGTTGGTCGTACACATGTAAAATCTGTCATGTGCCCTTAATTTTTTGACGGGACAAAATAACACATAGCAGTACCGGAAGACAGACAAAACCCCAAACGTCAACACCCCACATCTCAAAATTTTATAGAGTGGACAAAATCCCATATATCAATTTTATAGAGTGGACAAAACCCCACACATGAATTTAATAGAGTGGACAAAACGCCACATCTTTGATTTGATAGAGTGGACATGACCCCACACTTTTTGTTACTAATTTGAATAGTCCGTTGATTGATAATAAAATAACCAACATTATTGACATTTTGAATAATTAATGTTGATTAAGATATTAAGATTTATGAATGTTCACCCTCTAATTTTTATTAAACAAATTCTAATATTTAAAAGTAAACGTTTTGATCTTTATATAGATTATTATAACTCAATCACATTGCATTCAATGCATTGTATACTGACATAAAAAATAAGATACCATTACATACATTTACATGATAACACCCATGTGTTTATCATAAGACACATGGGCTTTGAAGATTTAATCAGAACATCAAAATATAATCTACTCTACACTCACGGAGGGTGGGACCCATATGGATATCAAAATTAAACATCGTAAAAGATGTAGTGAATTTCCACTTTTCCAGATGTGAGATTTAAGACGATATTTGAAGGAGAAAATATATCAGTCACAGGCTAAGTTTTCAACATTTTAAACATTTATATAAAATACAAAGCTCCTTTTAGAGAAATCGAAATGTGACTCTACTCTCCTGAATTTCCTTCATGTTTATTTACCCATATCGTTCGGATTTTAATGCAGTATTCATCGAGATATACTTGCCGTCATGGGTTATGGTGTGCCCAAAATACGCAATACGTATTGAGCATGTGTCGCTAAACGGACTCCAAATGCAGAGTTTCCTCAAAATCTAACACCAAACGATGCTTAATATTCAAACAAAAACAAAACCTTAATGAAGCATTTATTGAGAATAGGTTCAACATAAAGGAATTGCTGGACAAAATTACAGTCGAGTTTCATATGTGCTGAAGAGATCCATAGCTGATATAAGAAATGATAAACAAGATCGACAAGGAAAGGCGGCGTTTAATGAACGCAAACCATCTACAAAACAACGGAAAACTTTCATAATAGTAATTGAATAGCATGTTAGTTTTGCCACGTTCTTTTCACCTATAGAAAGGAGTGTTTGATATAAACAATTTTGTCGTAAAATTAACAAAATATAGATTAACTATTAACATGACTTCCATACAAAATACTCAATAAATGCTACTTTATCAATTGCCAAAAGCAACAGAAGTCAAAGATGCCTCTGTCAACTAGCTAATTTGTTATTTTTTAGAAACTTTACTAGGACTCCAAGAATAAAAAAAATGTTCGTGAACATGTGTTATAGTGATGAGATTATATATTGTATT